AATCACTATTTTCCGTAATTTATTTACAGCGAGTGTATTGAGGGTACGACTACGGACACGAACACTCAAATCTCGTGAGTTATTCTAGTTAGTAAATCAGGTTGTTTTTGTAATGTGTAAAGCAACTTTCACCGTGTTAGTGAGATTTTCTGATTTCTCGAATTCTAGTTAGAATTTAACTCGTGGTAGTGCAATTTACTGGTGTATGTTTTCTACCAAGTATTTAACAAAGATACAAAGCGACTCAAAAAACTCGCATTTGTGTAATAGCTGTTTTCCTCTTGTACTAGTAAATTGTGATCTGCCTCTCTGGCGAGCTTCGGTTATGAAGTTGAAGCTTCCATGTTTTAACTGAATCTGTGTGCTTATCACGAGTGTGAAATTATGCACAGTACTAATGCACAATGAGCTTAAGTTAAAGTGGATTTTGGGACAAACACCTTTCGTACTCCCACCGCCTTAGTTGTCAGCATGGTGGAGCATAAATGCCCCAAAAAAACTTCCAGTCGCTTCCATGCGGTAGTACTTCGTGTACGGCACGCGAACAGAGATGGTGTCGTTGACTCGAAGCAGGAACACTCCGCCGTGAAACTTTGTGTTGAATTTTCTCGTTTTGTTGATAACACTCGCCATGCTTTCCAAGACTTTTCTATTGTTGATGTACGTCAAGTGACCCATCTGAATTGTAGAGCCATCGTAATAAAACATTTGGCTGTATATGAAGTAGTAACCTTCTTTTTTGATTTCCACGGTTCCCCCTGACTCATGATAATCGATACTGCCAAACCTGTGGCTTAGTTTCCAGTTGGTTATAAGGTGATTAGCTCAAAAAGAAAGACAGGGATGATAATTAACGTAAAACTCAGAAAACTTTGAACATCATAAATATCTATTGAGTGCTTCTGTGTTTCAAGGAAAAAGCCAATCAGGTGTTAGAGAGCTGAACTGCAAACAGCAAGGGAAATAAATTTTTGGTTTTTAAGTTTTCTTTTCTTTTACAATTTTATCGTACTTGGTCAGTGCAAGGCTGACCTATCGGCTTCAAGTCAAATTGTGTTTGCAAGTTTTGCAGTTTCGTGTCTCGAAGTCGACGACCATGGAGCTTTACAAGTGAGAAATCAACATGTAGCATGAAGATGTATTTTTTGTGGTCATTGTCGCTAATTGAAATGTAGGGTAGAAAAACACCATACAACCGAGAAGAAAGCCAAAGCGGGGAACAAAGGTCGAGACCAAAATTATAGATTGCTTTCAGTTGAAGAGTGTGATAAATAAGTATTGTAGAATGCGAACATTTCGACCGAAAAATATAGTTTCTCTTTTTTGCCTTGCAAGAATATGTATGTATGAAAATTTCGAGTTTGATTTTCTATCAGTTAAGACTTACTAGCTTTGATATTGCCGTCTATTCCAACCAGGTGGATGCTTTCCCCTGCCTAAAATTAGGAAAGTAAACGATTCAAGTATTGATCTTCTGTCATCGCGAAGATATACACGCTTATCATACATTGATCATTGTTGGTTATCTATCATAGACGCATGCGCAAGGCAAGTATCTGTAAGGGTCTGGGCTTATTTCTCCTCATTAACTTCATATGTAGAGGAGAAGTTAGTATATACTGTTATTTTGTCTGTAACCAGATTACCCTGAACATTTGTAGCGCATTATCTTCCAGGATTTAGAATCCACGAAAGGGAGGCTACTGAATCCGTCACCATTTGCCAATCTGGCTTCAAGGGTCTCTCTTCTTCCCTCTTGCTCCAGGAGGCATTAAGAAGAGAGAACCTGGTAACAAGTTTGCAAACTTACCAGTACTCCGGACGGGCCAGGAGGTCCTAAGGAAATATTATGCAAATTCTTTTTTAGTCGACCGTGTTTATTCTTCGGTATCGCTTATCGTGTTTACACACACCCTGGCATCAAATGCTTTTTTATATTTTTACAGGGTTTTTTTTCCTCTTGGTACACTTTGCTGTGTAATAATCTGGCTTTTTATAATCATCTATTAATATATTAAACCCATCAATGTGAGTTGTGACTGCACGACAAAAGAGACCGCCATTTTCCCGAAACTTCATCCCAGATTTGGCACGGATAGTAAGGCAAGAGATGGAGTAAGCTGGCCAAAGATCAATTTCATCAGAGTAGTTAACTTTCAGAATTGAATTCTCTTGGGCGCAAAAAAAATCTAAACACTGAATACGCAACTGAATCCAAACACACCTGGCGGACCTTGTTCTCCTTTAGGTCCTATGTCACCCTTGAGACCATTTGCTCCGCGTGGGCCCTGGGGACCTGCTCGAATAGAAAAATAAACCAATGATCCAACTTTATTTTACGTTTTTAGCACGTGCATAGTGTCAAGGCTTTCAATTCAAAGATAACTCTGAATTTTTTGTGCTAAAAGATGAGTGAAGTAACGCGTATTTTAGAAAGCTATGATGTTAATTGCGAAGAACCATTCTAAAAGAAATCAACTCTGTGGATGATTAAGATAATATCAGAGGCACATAAAAAAAGTCGGTGAAGATGAACTTGAGGTTTAAACAGCAGAAAAAGTGCTAACAAAACCTGCTCTTCCATTGGTTCCATTAGCCCCGGTCGGTCCGTGAGGGCCTGGGTCGCCCTGGTCGCCCTTTTCTCCTGAAAGGAACATAGATAGGTCAGATTTCTGCCTAATGTTTACCGGTTACTTTACGAATGTCGACTGACAAACATCTTCGAAGGACGACACAACAAACCGAACGTTTTCGCACATAGTTAGATGAGTGTTTGAATCAAAGATAAAATGATAAAGTGGCAGCTTACCTTTCTTCCCTTTGCAGCCTATAAAGTAAAAAAAAATAATGTTTCAATCATGGAGTTTGGAGCACGCAAAAAGGGAATGATTTCGTTTGTCGGGAGAGCAAGAAACATCGATAGATCAATATCCTAGCACACTTACGTCTTTTACATTTGATACCTGAGGAAAAAAAACAAGCGAGAAATTTTAGCTTATCAAGTGGAATCAACATCTGCAATAAAATTACCCTTACATTTGTTATCCTTAAAGTTATTAAAACATGATAAAGTGACTTGGATTCAGTTTTAACTGTTAATGAGTGCTAAATTTCGTTTGGTGTATTTCGCTTTTTCCCCTTAGATGAATAAAATATTTACAGTATGATGTAATACAAAAGCGGGTACTAATTACAACGTGACACCAAACATCAAAGGTGTGAACTAAAACGCTAGAAAAGTGTTATAATGCTGTAATTGTTTGTTAAGTTCAGGTTTGATCTTATTTATATAAAAAGCTTCTTTGAGTTTTAAATCAATAGAGTTGTTAGCAGAATCCAGAATACTAAAGCAAGAAAGGAAGTATTTGTTCTTACAAGAAGGAGATGTGTTGAAATGCTTAAAAATATGCGAGTTTTTATCGCTTTCCTTGTGCTCCTTTATCCTAGTAGAGAAGTGGCGACTAGTTTCGCCAATATAACGGGAATTACATCCCGCACAAGAAAATTGATAAACTACCATGGATTTTAGAACATCAGGAGTACGATCTTTGACACTGAACATGTTTTTAGTCCTAAAAGAAGTGAAAACTAGTTTGATATTTAGGTCCGATTTACAAAAGCGCTTAGTGAGTTGTCGGAGTTTGAGGTTCGCTATTTTAGAATAATAGCCGACAAAAGGGAGTTTAAAGTAACATGTATTATTGTCATCAATGTTCCGGCTATTTTGAGAGGAGGACCCGTCAAGATACCGCTTGAAAGTTCTTTAAGTAATATGCGAAGGAAAAGAATTACGTTTTAAAGTGTCGGAAAGTTTCTTAACACCGGAAGAGGTGTTGTTGATTTTGTAGATACGATCAATAAGAGTTCGGATAAGGCCAATTTTGCAGCATGATGGAATAAAACTAAAGAAATTTGTTAGGAGACCAGTTTAGGACCGTGTAGGTTTTTTTATGAAAAAGCGTTTTAGTTCACACCTTTGATGTTTGGTGTCACGTTGTAATTAGTACCCGCTTTTGTATTGCATCATGCTGTAAATATTTTATTCATCTACTTGTCTGTTATATGATTACTCATGTTCTGTTACTCATTGATTGAAGATGGCATAAGCATGCCGAAACATGTCTCTCAAAAAAGTTGTCCATTTCTTACAATAACTACGATTATATTGAAACGCGTTGGTCCTCTGTATTTCTCAGCTCAATTAGACTTTCTTTCTTATATTGCTTTTCAACTGTTGACCGATCAAAAGTCAACTTAGAATGAAAACAGCTCGGCGGCGTTTGGCTTGCTGATTGTTTTGTATTGCTTAGAAATTAAGGAGGATTACAAACCAATGGAAAAACTTGAGACAATGTCAGTGCATAGTCAAAATGGATAAACATCTCATGCAAAATTGAAATGGAAAAACCAATCACTGAAGAAAACATGCGGAAGTAAGGCTGGGCAAAGTTCAATACATTATATCTGCCCAGATTTGATGATTAATATGACAAGAGATTCTATCAACAGGCAGTTTTACCTCCCATGTCGATTTTAAAGGAGTGAAAAATCTGTGCTTTATTTTACTTTTTTCAAGTTCATGGAAGTCAGTATATCTTCTCCTAACTTTGTTTGTTAACTTTTGTCTTAAGGCATGATACTCTTTTTGTCCACAAATCGTTTCAGGTCGTTTTTTCAGTGAACTAAGGGATCGAGATCATTTCGTTTTACTTAACTTAAGAAAACTACATTTGTATTACATCATGAGTCAGGTACAGTTTAGCGTACAATGTTTATTCATAGTCAATTATAATACGGCTTTTATCATTCAAGACACAGTGTAAATACAATGAAAGAGAGAGGAATCATAATTATGTGAGCATCTTTGACACCTACCGTCACTTTCTGCTTCATAACCGTAAAATTGTCGTCTACCCCTTGTTTGAGGAAGAGGGAACCTCATTTGCTGCAAAGGCAAACAACGATGCATTAAAAGGCTAAAAAAAAAAATTTGATTTCACCCACACAATTAGATACGCATAAATTTGGACAACAAGCTACTGAGTTCATTTTGCTTCATAGGATTCAAACAGACCTTGTCGCCCAGGCGTTTCTCTTTTTCTGTCCTTTCCTCTGCCTCCGCATTTGTTTCTCCCGCAAATTTATCATCAATTTTCCGAGCGGCGAAACTGGCCTCTAACTTGTGAAGACGAGCATTCCCTTCGACACTTTCTGCTTCTAGCGATTGAACTCTTTGAGACTGCCGCAGCGTAACGCGGTACAGAGTCGCGATAACGACCGTGACTAGGACGACAAAAATCGCCAGAATTAGAACCACGAACGAGGTCAGAATGCTCTTAGTTGTACGAGCACGCGAGCTATCGCGTTTCTCCATATCCGCCGGGTGGTTTCAAGGCGGTGTCGAAGCTCCGAGTTGTGTGTTTTGTTTCTGAGAGGGGTGCCAATTTCTAAGAACTGGTTTGATTTATTATTGTCTCACGCTTCGCTAAGCATTTGTTTTGGAAGTTTCTCGGAAAGGAAATAACCATTGAAACACAAGCTTGTGTATTCCGTTGCCTTAGGAGGGTCGTCTAACCTCAGGGGATAAATTAGGGTGGGCCATCATTCGATTATGAGTTCAATGAATCTGGGATTTTATCGTCGCTAACTTTTGGTGATTTGGAATGTTTGCATAAACCGGGTATGATGAACGATCTCCGGTACGTCGTGTGTTTTACAGGCGCCTTGGAAAGTGGCTATAGAAAAAGGGCTTGCTTGAATTTGTTAAATCTATGCCGATATTTATCGGAGATGCTCATAAAATAAACTGCCTAAGGATACAAATCTAGTTACTCCTTGTTGCTGTGACCCGAACTCTGTCTCTTTGGAAATGCAACGTGTAACTGCTGCCTGTAAACAACGGGCACACGATCAAAATAGTTGAAACTAGCCTGCATGCTGTTTTCATGAAAAACGGCTGTACAATTCTCCAAGTCTTGGTTTATTTCCTCGTCATAACCTTCGTTATGGATAAATTGGAACAAACAAACAAAACTTGGAAAAGCAAAAAAANATTTTTTATGGAAATATGAATTTACAGTTTCATAACGTTTAAAAACGATATAACAAAAGAGCTCGTTTGAAGACGAATTGTCGTAAATTTGTTTACATAATTGATTTAAACTAGCTAAAATGGATATAATTTACTTTATGTGTCACACTACTTTCCTTTAATTTGGGCCTGATTTGCCAAAAAATCATTTAAGTACTATTCGGATACCGAAAATAAAGTCGCCTATTCTATTTTTCTTTAATTAAATTGACAAATGATGACCAACTAAGACTAACACACTCCAATAGATATATTTGAAGAACACCCTAGTATGTGAGATCTAAAATTTTAATGATTTACAATTTTCTGTACGTTAACGTTTACGGGAAGGGTAACTGGTCACTGGATCAAAAGTTGGATTTCTATCTCTAGTTACCATGATAAATGTTACGAAAAAAAAAAGTGAAAATGACTGAAATTATAGTAAAAAAATGAAAGGAAAATGTCTGTTAGCTGCGCTGTACTGAAGAACCTACATTGTGATAAAGACGCGGTCTGTGCTGATAAGGGACCATTCGTTATTCATCCCCGAGGGGTAGTGCTGATAAGGGACCAGGACCATTCGTTATTCATCTCCGAGGGGTAGTGCTGATAAGGGACCATTCGTTATTTATCTCCGAGGGGTGGCACCGGAGGATTTTGGGGATCACATAGTTTTTGGATGAAACGGAGGGGGATCAGTGGTCTCTAAAAGAGGTTAAAAGGGGGACTAATGAATATTGACCGCCACATAAGGAGAATCATTAGAATACTACAGAGCCTTATGGGGGGCGTCAGGTAAATTTTATTGCGACACAACCAAATCCGCTGACCGACCCCCCCCCCCCACGCGGCTCAAGTTCTGGCTTCCTGTTCCTTTTAATTTTACCCATACTGTATATTAACATAAGGCGACTGCAACGAACTTGATTTCCCACTTATGAGAGACTACTAGGCTAAGAGCGAAATGTATAAAATCTACGTATAACTGGTCACATAAACAGAACACTGTCTCGAAAAATGAAGTGAAATTGAAAAGGCTCCATGACTTAGTCAGGATACAACATGAACACTCCGAAGTAGCTATAGGCAGCCTCCATGTAGTAAAGCTTACTCCTGTACACTTCCACTTTAAGAATATCGCCTCGATTTAGATGAAAAACGCCTCCCTGGTAGTTTGTGTTGTACTTTCTTTCGCAATTCACTGTGCTTGAGACGCTGCCGAGGATTTTGACTCCGTTCAAAACAGTGTAGTGGTTCATTGAGTAGCTAGTGCAATCATAGTAATACATCTGACTGTAGATATAGTACATTCCAGAACGACCGATCACCAGGTGACCCACGTGTCGTCTGTACAAGATACTTCCATTGACGTGGCCTTCCTTCCAACGATGAACAGTACCTGCCCAACAAAGTTAACAAATTTATAAATCAATCTACAAGTTAAGTTGTGATTTAATGGAGACGTGGCGGCCTAAGAGTTGGTCGGAGGCTCAAGTCGAGACTGGTACCAATTCGAACTCTGACCGGGTCGTGGTGTGGTGATCTGGGAGATAATAGACAGACGGTCACAAGACTTTACTAACCAGCATGATGTACTAACTTTCCGTCGCCAACCAAGTGAGCACTCTCTGGCATCTAGAAAAGAAAGAAACATGCCAACGTTAATGTTGTGAGAGTTCATCTTGTTAAAAAAAAAAAAAGGATAAAAGGAGAAACTAGACAGAAATACGAGTAACGAGAAACTCAAGAGAAATGTCTTGAAGGTTTTCAGAGTCTCAAGAAAAAAGGAAAACATGGTATTTTGAGATATGTTTTGAATAAGTTTACTTCAAACAGAAAGTTGTTGAAGCAAGGTATCCAAAATTGAAAAAATTCAAGCGAGATTCTTACCATAAGTCCAGGGGGCCCTTTCTCTCCTAAAAAGCAAAAAGCAAAGAGTTGGTTAAGCCTGTACTCATGTAGTCTGTACTTGTATCATGCACGAAGTGTTACTTACCCTTTTCTCCTTGATCTCCCTTCAGTCCAGGTTGGCCTATTTCGCCTTTAAAACCGGGTGGCCCGGAAGGTCCCGGGGAACCTTGTGGACCAACCGGTCCTTGTGGACCGTTATCACCTTCAAATTGATATGGAAAAATAGGTTATTAATTAATTTTTTTGTGACGTTCATTTAGATATCACAAGTGATCCTTGCAATCTAATTGGCTTCCAGCAGAGCGATTTATTCACAAGTCACTTCAATTTTGCACTAAATCGCTTCTTTTTTTTTTCTTTACCAGACAGAACTAAACTCTAAAACAACACGAGAAATCATATTTTTAATCTCACGCTCTCCGTTTTCGCAACTGCGCTTTCTTTCGATTTTGAAATGGCAGGTGTAGTTTTAAACCAAATTGCGCAATATTGTAGCTTTAGGCTTTGCCAGCCTCCTACCC